AATCCAGTTTGACATGCGCCATTTTTTGAACAATTTTTTTAATCGCGAAGTGCGTCTATCCTTTTCTATATATAAATTCCAATTTTTTTTTGAGTAAAATCCAACTGCTAAGGAGAAAAATAAAAATCAATGATAGTCATAAAATCGTGTAGAAGAGAATTACGTACTTTTCTCCCGAACTATTAGATTTCACTCACAAGGAACTTAAGAATTATACATAGGAAAAATGAACGCATTTTCCTAAAAAATATTTGTTTAATAAACTTCTTGCGGGTACAAGTGCAGTTTACGCACACCCCTACTATTATATATATATAAAGACAGAACAGGAAAAAAAATTTATTGGATAAATTGTACACCACTATTGAACGATATATCGTTCAATAGTGGTGTACAATTTATCCAATAACCTTTCTTTTCTGTTCTGTCTTTATATATATAGAACAATAGGGGTGTGCGTAAACTGCACTTGTACCTTCTGATATTTTAATACAGATTCGACCATGGAAACTTATACTTACGAAGCAGTAGATTTAAATTTTCAACTTATATTTAGGGAGACCTAACTGCATACAATTGTACAGCTACTTATAGTAAAAGTTGATCCATATCAATAAAAAACGGTAAATATTAGATTTTAATGATATTTTTGTGATTTAAAATCAATTGCAATACTACTAATTTTATCCAATTTTCATCAGAATATTGATTAACATCAAATAAATTTATAAAAATCGTTTTTTATTAATTTGTTCGATTTCTTAGAGATTGTAACGAGGTTATTAATCACATTTTTTGATTTTTAATTTTATAAAATTGATTTTAATCTTCTTTATTTATGTTTTGTTCATGAATAAATATCACATGATATCGAATCTTAAATCTTTGTATATTTTCCGAAGGTTCGTTAAGCATCATTCTTACTACTTCTCTAGTGAGAAATACTGAAAAACAATGAAAAAGTCGAGTCTTTAACTTAAAACTCGAGAACAACTTGTTTTTTTTTAATAGAAATCTAATTGAAATAGTATAAGTTCAATCGATTTTTAAGCACAAAAAAATATAAATAAAAATCAGTTGTTCTAACTGTTTTAACAGGAATTCAGAATTCATGTTTAAATACAAACGTAATAATATCTAAAGTCGACAAAAAAAGTCATTTCTAAAAACTGTTTACAAAGTAAAATTTTTATAATTACAATTATTCATATCGATTTCTAATGTAAACAGTTATATTTAGTTGTGGGTATAGGTATCACGCAATAGTAACTTGACAATGATATCAACATTTCTAGCAGATACTTGATTGATAAACGATCATGTTTACCGATATAAACATCTAGTCTATGTACCACCACATCAATCACCAATCGAGTCTACTCGTTATAAATCTTTGATCAAAATGCTTGCTATTCTACCTGAAAAGATGTTAAATTTCCTCCGTTTCGTAAGTGTAAGTTTTTCTTCGGTACCGCAATAAAAGTAGGAGCACTTAGCCGAAAAAATTTCACAGTTATTTGCTTTACTTTCTATTCATTTTTTCTATTTTAATTCATCAAAACGAATTCATTTCTCTAGTATGTTGAATACATACGTTAAAACATGTTCACTGACCTATATCTTCGTTCAATCCGTTTGATGCATTAAATGTAGAAAAAAAAACGTTTCTACGCAGTCACTTCAAAATTTTTCGACTCAGCGAGTTTTACAGTTTTGATTTTTTTTGATTCGCGCCTTCAACGCATCAAAACAGCTTTTTTGCTGTTTTTGCCTGTGTAAATACTTTTTAAAGTAAAAACAGAAAGAGACTATCATAGTGTGGTCAAATCTATGCACACAATATGTGAAAACTAATCATTTCATTTCATGATGACTTTCCAGTAGAAAATATTCATAAAAAAATATGGGAAGGGAGCGGTTTTATCGAAATATGAAAAGGTACCTTATCCACGATTAATAACGTCATAGTGTTTGACGAATGCGATCTCCGCCGACAAGAATGCATTCTGTATCTGAAGAAAAGGGTGTGGGTGCATGGATATGGGTCTGAGTGTGGGCTTTGCTATTCTACTCATACATCCACACCCACCCGTAAAATGAGTCTGGATAAAAATATCTGAAAAATAGTCACAAAACACCTATACATTGTCACACTGTGGCGCATAGAAAAGTACTTCTTCATAGAGATTGAAGCTTCTAATTACGTAAACTTTGTAGCATTTTTCAAGCTCTATCTATAACAGAAATACAATTTCTGATCCTGCTTGATGCTAAGGCGCGAGACTCAAAATACGTCAAAAATCACCTATTAAAATTTTCAAAATTTTGGTGTTTATTTCACTTCAGAGAACAAGCAATCCTCTATCTTTTGAGATATTACTCGACTCAGTGCGTTGAATCGTTTTCGAGATATTGTCAAAATACTAAAATTGATCGATATATGGGTATCCAACCCACTCCAACAGTGTTTCATCGCTCATTTTTCAGGATTATGTCCAGTCAGGCTAAAATTTTGTTCTTGTCAGTAATTTTGTTCGGGCTTTCTGTTGAAATCATAAAAAGGGTATGTCAACATTTTTCTCATGACGGGTAATCTCCCAAATGCTCGATTAAGTCATGGACCCTCTCTTAATTAGTTCAGGTATATATTAGGCCACATTCGAGTTGATAACACGCTGATATATACCTAGTGAAAGCAAACACTCCAGATAGCTACATTACTAGTGAGTGGTGTTCCGAAGGGATGAGTTCTGCGAGATAGTACCAAATCCCAAGAAATCTCGTTCCGCGAAACAGTTGGGGTTCGGGAAACAGAAAAGTTTGTCCTACAGGACTCTAGTCTAGGTCCCTCCTTAGAGAAGAATTTCACGTGACACAGTACGGGTAAAGGAACGTCGTAATACAATTGTTTTCCAAAACCAGACGCGATCTTACTCCTTAAAAATTTCGAACTCCTCTTGAAAAATTTCTGCGTACGCTGCTGTACTGCCTATACTTCTAAAAACGAAAATGTTCAAGAACTATTTCATTTCTTCTAGATATAACCGTTCATATCAATCAATAAAAGCTGATCAAAATCAATGGAAGAATTAGCCGCATCATCAATCTCTAGCGAGCTACAAGTTCCTAATGAAAAATACTTTTTACTTTCGGATGGCCGTCAATTAGCGTATACCGAACAAGGTGATACTAATAGTAATAAAATCATTATCTTCTTTCACGGAGCATTTGGTGTTGGTGATTCTCCAAATGAGAATAATTGTTACAAAGAAATCGGATATCATTTCATTATGCCTACACTTCCTGGTTGGGGTAATAGTTCCCCATGGCCGAAAAATCAACCAATTTCAAATTACCCTAATGATATTCATCAATTACTATCATCGTTGAAGAAAAATGATAATAAAAATCTTCGAATTGTTGTTGCTGGTGGCAGTTATGGATCTGTTTTTGCACAAATTTGTTTTAGCACATCAACTGATATAATGCCTGAGATTATCAATATTCAATCATTAATTGTCTTATCTGGTTTTTCTCCATTCAAATATCATAAAAAATATACTACTGGAATGAGTTGGTCCATTTATTTTGCGATTGGTAGTCCAGGTATCCATTTTCATTTTATTTCAAAATTAGTAGGATCGTATATTCAAAAGAAAGCTCGTAATATTGAAGAAGTCAAAAAATTTGTACGAAAAAAATTTTTTGATCAAATGAGTGACGAGGACAAGGCCAAATTACGTAAATGGGAAGAAGAGTACAATAAATCAGCAGAATGGGCTATTGATATGATGTCGAGAAATATTTATTTAAGTATTTCTAAAACAATGGCTGGTTTCAATGATATGCCGCGTGTTTTACATTCAGATTGGGGTTTTGATCCAAAGAAGCTTTCATCATCACCAAAACGAAAAGTATTGATTGTAGCTACACAAGGAGATGAAATTTCTCCTATGGAAATGTCAACATATTTAGTTGAAACTTATCCTAATGCAGAAATGAAAATACTTAGTGGAGGTCATTTAGGTACACTTTTTGAATTCGATACAATTATAAAAAATTGGCTAATAGATCTTGACAAAGAATTTAATGAAAGAACACAATTGAATGAGCAAGCATCATGTTCTTAATCGCAACGTATCAACCGATTGTCTATTTATCGAAATCTTTTGATGTAAACTATTTTCTCAATGATTTCTCTAGCATAACATTTCAAAAATTATCTTTGTCTTTACACTTCTTGTTAATTGTGTTCTGTAGTGCAAAAATTCTAGGACAGTCAGATGGTAAATAATACATTTTACTTGTGTATCTATATAACTGTCTTAAAACACGTTTGCAACACTATTTTGTCATAGCGTGGAATCTCTTAATCTTTACTGAACTTTTCGATTTTTTCTGGGTGTGTGGGTGTAGATGAAAATAAAGTCAGCGGTCCTTCACACACACACACTCGATTATATTACCAATTATTTCCCAAATAAACGTATATTTAATAATCATATTTTAAGTACAACCGAAAATCCATCCTATGCTGTGGTGACAACAAATATGGGTGGCTATGTGCAAGCAACAAGCATTGATTCTTTTCCATTTTCTATCAATGATCGAGAAAATATCGTGTTGATTGATACTGTCCATTTTGATGATGACGATAAAATTCCGAGCAATATAGTCCCGGTTGAGTTTTTCGATGTTGATTAATGTCCGCGCCAGAATGAGAGAAGGGTGGGTGTAAATGCAATAACTCGACAACCGCAATAGCTAGCGATTTGCGGTTTTCAGCAATAGAAAGAGTAGACTCTGGGATGTTTTTTTGAATAATATTGTATCAGACAAAGTCATTTTGAACACTGTCATTTTTGGGAATCTTATCTTAGAACCCAGGAAAACGGCATGCCACTAAAATCAATTTTTGATTTTGATATTCCCATTAGATAGAGAAATGTCAAATCTAAACTTCTATGCTAAGCTCAAATAGCTAGGTTCTTGTTTTCTTATCGTCATCAAGCTGCATCGAGCTTCGGATACTCTATAATAATGAGTATTACTCTGAGCTGAAAACAATCATTACCACAGGATCACCTAGGTGATCCTGTGGTAATGATTGTTTTCAGCTCAGAGTAATACTCATTATTATAGAGTATCCGAAGCTCGATGCAGCTTGATGACGATAAGAAAACAAGAACCTAGCTATTTGAGCTTAGCATAGAAGTTTAGATTTGACATTTCTCTATCTAATGGGAATATCAAAATCAAAAATTGATTTTAGTGGCATGCCGTTTTCCTGGGTTCTAAGATAAGATTCCCAAAAATGACAGTGTTCAAAATGACTTTGTCTGATACAATATTATTCAAAAAAACATCCCAGAGTCTACTCTTTCTATTGCTGAAAACCGCAAATCGCTAGCTATTGCGGTTGTCGAGTTATTGCATTTACACCCACCCTTCTCTCATTCTGGCGCGGACATTAATCAACATCGAAAAACTCAACCGGGACTATATTGCTCGGAATTTTATCGTCATCATCAAAATGGACAGTATCAATCAACACGATATTTTCTCGATCATTGATAGAAAATGGAAAAGAATCAATGCTTGTTGCTTGCACATAGCCACCCATATTTGTTGTCACCACAGCATAGGATGGATTTTCGGTTGTACTTAAAATATGATTATTAAATATACGTTTATTTGGGAAATAATTGGTAATATAATCGAGTGTGTGTGTGTGAAGGACCGCTGACTTTATTTTCATCTACACCCACACACCCAGAAAAAATCGAAAAGTTCAGTAAAGATTAAGAGATTCCACGCTATGACAAAATAGTGTTGCAAACGTGTTTTAAGACAGTTATATAGATACACAAGTAAAATGTATTATTTACCATCTGACTGTCCTAGAATTTTTGCACTACAGAACACAATTAACAAGAAGTGTAAAGACAAAGATAATTTTTGAAATGTTATGCTAGAGAAATCATTGAGAAAATAGTTTACATCAAAAGATTTCGATAAATAGACAATCGGTTGATACGTTGCGATTAAGAACATGATGCTTGCTCATTCAATTGTGTTCTTTCATTAAATTCTTTGTCAAGATCTATTAGCCAATTTTTTATAATTGTATCGAATTCAAAAAGTGTACCTAAATGACCTCCACTAAGTATTTTCATTTCTGCATTAGGATAAGTTTCAACTAAATATGTTGACATTTCCATAGGAGAAATTTCATCTCCTTGTGTAGCTACAATCAATACTTTTCGTTTTGGTGATGATGAAAGCTTCTTTGGATCAAAACCCCAATCTGAATGTAAAACACGCGGCATATCATTGAAACCAGCCATTGTTTTAGAAATACTTAAATAAATATTTCTCGACATCATATCAATAGCCCATTCTGCTGATTTATTGTACTCTTCTTCCCATTTACGTAATTTGGCCTTGTCCTCGTCACTCATTTGATCAAAAAATTTTTTTCGTACAAATTTTTTGACTTCTTCAATATTACGAGCTTTCTTTTGAATATACGATCCTACTAATTTTGAAATAAAATGAAAATGGATACCTGGACTACCAATCGCAAAATAAATGGACCAACTCATTCCAGTAGTATATTTTTTATGATATTTGAATGGAGAAAAACCAGATAAGACAATTAATGATTGAATATTGATAATCTCAGGCATTATATCAGTTGATGTGCTAAAACAAATTTGTGCAAAAACAGATCCATAACTGCCACCAGCAACAACAATTCGAAGATTTTTATTATCATTTTTCTTCAACGATGATAGTAATTGATGAATATCATTAGGGTAATTTGAAATTGGTTGATTTTTCGGCCATGGGGAACTATTACCCCAACCAGGAAGTGTAGGCATAATGAAATGATATCCGATTTCTTTGTAACAATTATTCTCATTTGGAGAATCACCAACACCAAATGCTCCGTGAAAGAAGATAATGATTTTATTACTATTAGTATCACCTTGTTCGGTATACGCTAATTGACGGCCATCCGAAAGTAAAAAGTATTTTTCATTAGGAACTTGTAGCTCGCTAGAGATTGATGATGCGGCTAATTCTTCCATTGATTTTGATCAGCTTTTATTGATTGATATGAACGGTTATATCTAGAAGAAATGAAATAGTTCTTGAACATTTTCGTTTTTAGAAGTATAGGCAGTACAGCAGCGTACGCAGAAATTTTTCAAGAGGAGTTCGAAATTTTTAAGGAGTAAGATCGCGTCTGGTTTTGGAAAACAATTGTATTACGACGTTCCTTTACCCGTACTGTGTCACGTGAAATTCTTCTCTAAGGAGGGACCTAGACTAGAGTCCTGTAGGACAAACTTTTCTGTTTCCCGAACCCCAACTGTTTCGCGGAACGAGATTTCTTGGGATTTGGTACTATCTCGCAGAACTCATCCCTTCGGAACACCACTCACTAGTAATGTAGCTATCTGGAGTGTTTGCTTTCACTAGGTATATATCAGCGTGTTATCAACTCGAATGTGGCCTAATATATACCTGAACTAATTAAGAGAGGGTCCATGACTTAATCGAGCATTTGGGAGATTACCCGTCATGAGAAAAATGTTGACATACCCTTTTTATGATTTCAACAGAAAGCCCGAACAAAATTACTGACAAGAACAAAATTTTAGCCTGACTGGACATAATCCTGAAAAATGAGCGATGAAACACTGTTGGAGTGGGTTGGATACCCATATATCGATCAATTTTAGTATTTTGACAATATCTCGAAAACGATTCAACGCACTGAGTCGAGTAATATCTCAAAAGATAGAGGATTGCTTGTTCTCTGAAGTGAAATAAACACCAAAATTTTGAAAATTTTAATAGGTGATTTTTGACGTATTTTGAGTCTCGCGCCTTAGCATCAAGCAGGATCAGAAATTGTATTTCTGTTATAGATAGAGCTTGAAAAATGCTACAAAGTTTACGTAATTAGAAGCTTCAATCTCTATGAAGAAGTACTTTTCTATGCGCCACAGTGTGACAATGTATAGGTGTTTTGTGACTATTTTTCAGATATTTTTATCCAGACTCATTTTACGGGTGGGTGTGGATGTATGAGTAGAATAGCAAAGCCCACACTCAGACCCATATCCATGCACCCACACCCTTTTCTTCAGATACAGAATGCATTCTTGTCGGCGGAGATCGCATTCGTCAAACACTATGACGTTATTAATCGTGGATAAGGTACCTTTTCATATTTCGATAAAACCGCTCCCTTCCCATATTTTTTTATGAATATTTTCTACTGGAAAGTCATCATGAAATGAAATGATTAGTTTTCACATATTGTGTGCATAGATTTGACCACACTATGATAGTCTCTTTCTGTTTTTACTTTAAAAAGTATTTACACAGGCAAAAACAGCAAAAAAGCTGTTTTGATGCGTTGAAGGCGCGAATCAAAAAAAATCAAAACTGTAAAACTCGCTGAGTCGAAAAATTTTGAAGTGACTGCGTAGAAACGTTTTTTTTTCTACATTTAATGCATCAAACGGATTGAACGAAGATATAGGTCAGTGAACATGTTTTAACGTATGTATTCAACATACTAGAGAAATGAATTCGTTTTGATGAATTAAAATAGAAAAAATGAATAGAAAGTAAAGCAAATAACTGTGAAATTTTTTCGGCTAAGTGCTCCTACTTTTATTGCGGTACCGAAGAAAAACTTACACTTACGAAACGGAGGAAATTTAACATCTTTTCAGGTAGAATAGCAAGCATTTTGATCAAAGATTTATAACGAGTAGACTCGATTGGTGATTGATGTGGTGGTACATAGACTAGATGTTTATATCGGTAAACATGATCGTTTATCAATCAAGTATCTGCTAGAAATGTTGATATCATTGTCAAGTTACTATTGCGTGATACCTATACCCACAACTAAATATAACTGTTTACATTAGAAATCGATATGAATAATTGTAATTATAAAAATTTTACTTTGTAAACAGTTTTTAGAAATGACTTTTTTTGTCGACTTTAGATATTATTACGTTTGTATTTAAACATGAATTCTGAATTCCTGTTAAAACAGTTAGAACAACTGATTTTTATTTATATTTTTTTGTGCTTAAAA